AAAGAATATATTTTATAAAAATTTTGGTAAATTTTCAAAATTTTATTTTTAAAAATTATTATATAACTTTTTGCAGGTAAATTTGCCTGCACATAGTCTACAGACGAAGAGATAATAACTATAAGTGTTCTCAATTTGCTGTTTATGTTCTCACCTATGCTCACTAAAAAAAATAAAAAATAAAAATACATACTAGCTACCTAATAATCAGGTAGTTTCAAGATTAAGGAACCCAGTGATATTTTCATGGTTATTTCACCACATGAGTATCGTATAAGCGCAAAATAACGCGCAGTGGTGTGATTTCAAATTTTGACCCAAATTAAGCATAATTCGTGCCATTATCTATTATTCAGAATAACGCCCTGCGCATTATTTCGTGCTTATACGGTAAGTGTTCAGCCTAAGCTAGGTTAGTGTTAGGGTTAGGTGATAGGATAGTTTAGGCTTAGAGGTCGGATCCATGAATATTCACGGTTGGAAATAGATATTCATTGAATATTCAATATTCGGCTACACAAAATTCATGATAGTTAAGAGTTTGTAATTGATATAATTGATTCGTTTATATTCATGAATATTTGCATTTGAATATTCATGGTTACAATAATAAATGGATATCCATTCAAAAAAATAGATATTCATTCAATACTATTCGTAAACATCAACACCCGCGAATATTTACTGAATAGCCATGATGGATATTCAAAGGATCCAATCTCTATTTAGGCTAATTATTTAGTGCTAGTAAACAAATGATGTCATTTCATGATTTAACTTGTGTGTGATGATCACTGGGTTCCGAGTTCTTGAAGTGTCCCCATCTATCTACCATTTACGAGAACACTATTTTTATTTAACTGTTCTCAAAAAATTTTTGATAGTGACAGTAAACCATTTTTACAGTTCACAAACTTATAATCATGTTCTCATGAGAACTCTGAGAACACTAATTTCGAACACTGGCTATGATAGTACAATTATGGATCGTAAGTGACAACTTAAAGAATGACAAATACGGAAGTGAAGAAACACAGGAAAAATTAATCATTACATTATGCGATTGCGATTCCATAGTGATCGAAATAGTGCACAAGTATTATTGCGTGATTTTAGCTATTGTCATAACATTTCAGATAAAAGTTAATAATACGAATGACGATATTATTGAGATACATATGTTCAAGCATCATTATTACTAATAATTGTATGTGATGCCAATTGTAACGATAGATCAAAATAAGTTCTTAATCACTGCTTGAGAGGATTCTGAATAGTTTATCGAAAAATTTTACAAAATGTGTATCGATAAAGAAAATCAATAATAAAAAATATGAAAACGCGTGAGCAATATTTTATTCACTTTTGATAGTTATAAAGTTTTGATGAGTCAGCGCAAAAAAAAGGTGGTTAGTACAAAAAGTTTTTTGTCGAAATGGTAAACTCATTATTATTTTTTACTATTTAAAATTTTTTTCTTTCACGTATAAACCACCTTATCTTAATGACAAGCTCGATTGACCGATTAAAATAATTTCCGTTATTCTGACTTTCGACATAATTTGACCCATTGATTGAGGTGGTTGAGAACTCCCTAAAGTGCATTGCTATATCTACCCAAGAGCATGATAATATACTAAAAAAGCTAACATAGATTACAAAAATCGTTATCTATGTTCCTAGTTATTGTACTTTGTATTATTGGAAACTTTCTAATTGCCCTATTTTATTTGATAATTTCACAAAAAATCTGATTTTTGGTTACTAATAATTGAAAATTATTGAAAAAAGTAATTAATTTCTAAATACAGTATAAAGCTATATATGTATATTATTCACTAACAATACTATAAATTATGATTAAGAAGTTTTAAAAATAAATTAATTATGAATCTCGACTAAAAATAATAAAACCAATTGTTATTATGTATTAGGTGACAATGTTTTAACAAAAATAATAAAAGACATGAACAAACCCGAGATTCGGTTTATTTCATCATTATCTTCATTTTGGAAAACTTGATCATTGGGTCCTTTATTTTGGACAACTTGAACAACTTGACTAGTAAGTTCTTCATTTTGAACTACTTGATGACCATTAGGTTTTTCATTTTGAACTACTTGATGACCATTAGGTATTT